TGTGTGTGAATAAAGGGCAGACCAGCTGAAAACCCCAGTGGGGGGATAGAGGACAGGCAGAAATCTCCGACTCCTTTTCTCTATGCAAACAGCGAGGTGCCAGAGCGCTGCCTCCAACCAGCCTCCGAGAGGAGACGTGAGCGCGGTCCCATGCGGGAGGATTAACAGCGAAAAGGGTCCTCGGGAAAGGTGGTTGATTGGACCCACGAGTGGCATTTTTGCGCCCAGTGGGTTCACTGCTGGGGCCCCTTTTGTTAGAGGGATGAACGAACCATTCCTCATTGAACGTAGGCGGGTGGGTCAGGGAGTTGGTGGACGATTCGGAAATTGGTAGGGTGGGAAATTCAATGACGGGAGGATACGGACGGGCTGGTGGGATGGACTGATCACCAGCAAATGGGGGTCAATCCGCGGGGCTTTGGTTCAATTCCAAGGGCAGGTATGAGGAAATGCACTTGGGGCAGGACAAACAAGGCAAGGGAGCGCATGGCGGACGCTAGGACCCAGGGAAGCACCGTGGGTCAGAGGCTGTGCATGTGCCCCGGTCCCTTGAGGTAGCGGGACAGTGCGATAAAGTGGTTCAGAAGGATTATGGGATACTTACCTTCATTAACCGAGGTGTAGAGTTTAGGAGCAGGGAGGTTTGGCTGGGAACTGTATATAAAACGTCGGTTAGGCCACACAGCGAGAGTATTGTGTGCAAGGTCTGGAATCCACATTATCGGAGGGATGTGATAGCACTGGGAGAGGGGGCAGAGGGAGATTTACCGGGATGTTGCCTTGTGGGGAGCTGGAGAGTTTCAGTTCTTGAAGAGAGATTGGGACGGACTGGGGGGTTGTTTTCCTTTGAGCAGAGGAGATTGAGAAGGTGGGGGGGAAACGTGATTGAGATGGATAAAACGAGGAGGGGTATCAATAGGGGAGACAGAAGGGAACTTTTCCCTTTGGTGGGAGGGATCAGTGCCTGGGGAAAGGAGTGGGGTGGAGTGGGGGGGTGCATAGATCTAGGCTAAGAGGCAATAGGGAATGTGAGGTTTGTTTTATTCCCCCAGAGGGCTGGGGGGTGGAATCTGAAACTCACTGCCTGTAAGGGTGGGAGAGGCAGGAATCCCCATCCCATTGAAGAAGGATTTAGATGGGCACTCGCTATGCCAAGGCTGTAGGCCAAGCGCTAAGAGATGGGGATTGGAATAGCGAGGTGAGTGGCACTGATCTGCATAGACGCAAGTGGGCGTTGCTCCATGCCGCGGGTTCGTACGCTTCAGTGCCAGTGAGGAAGGTACCTACTGTTGGTCCTCTTGTCCTCGTGGGTAGCCCACAGGTTGAGGAGGGCAGTGCTCTGCTCCAGCAGTGAGTTGGGATTCTCCACCCGGATCCTGTTGATGTCATCGATGGAGAACTGCAGCTCCCGCGCCAACTCTGCAAAGGGACAGGCGGAGGCGAGCGGTTAGTCACGATGGCAGCGGGGAGAACGTGCGCACGCCGCCGACCAAGAGCCGAGGGGGACAAGCGCCATGTCATCGGCCACGCGTTGGGGAATGGCCTGCCCGCCGCAGCGTCCTCCGAACGCTCCGCGGCTGAGGGAGAACCGGTAAACGCGACCAGGAGAGAGGGACTCATCACTCGGGATAGCTGGTGACGTCACTATAGCTGGTGCTGGGTGAACCTGGCTGCTCACCTGGAGCGGAAGTGGTCATCGTGACACGGTCCAGGGAAAAGCCATCATTCCCAGTAAGGAGGAGCGAAACACAAGTTACTGCAAATTGTGGCTCGCGTCACACACTCTCCTGTGTTTCCTGCGCAACATCGCAGCTTCACGCATCAAATCTCATTCAGAGTTTCCGATGGGAAGTTTAAGAGTGGACAAGCGAGGTCGACAGGGCAACAGGGCCTGGAATGACACATTTCTCCCGAAAACGAGAGCTGTCGAACCACATCACTGAATCCAATTTCTCAGCTCAGACAACAAGCACCATTTCCAAAGGCTGCCTGACTCAGGCTGTTAAACCCTGGAGTGAAACGCTGTCAGGCCAGGACACAGCTGGTGAACTGAAACCAGGGTGGTCAGGAGGGACTGACACCCAGAGCTTACCATCCTCCACCTTCAAGAAGGGACGGGCCGTCGAGAAGGAAATGCTCGAGCATACGGACTGCTCCCACTGCTTCCCATAATAACGGGCACATGTTACATGGCACCAGCAATAAACACAGTGTGCTGGAGAAACTCAGCAGGTCACACACACACACACTCACACGCACTCTCTCTCTTTCTCTCACACACACACACGCACTCTCTCTTTCTCTCACACACACACACTCACACACTCAATCTCTCACTCTCTCTCACACACACACACACACACACACACACACACACACAC